AATAATAAAAAAAAATGTGCTAATGATATTTAATTAGACATTTAGAACTAGATTAACCTAGTTTGAGATCCTCATTTTATAAGAAAAAATTAATATACACTTTAGGTCATTAGTACAAAGGCACAGTTAGACAGGGTTCTTTTTTACTGTATTATGTGCCGCTTTAAAATGTAAAATGCATGAAATTTGCACTGTCTATTTTACTTATTTTAAGAAAGGCACAGTGAAGTGAAGTTGTTCTCCCAAGGGACCACCCCAAATATCTAAACTCTTGGAAATAACTACAAATCTATCATTCAGGAGTTATTTAAATCCTTAATCTCATCAGATAATAAGTTTATATTTTTAAAATATTAACTCATGAACTGAGACATGTTACCAAGATATACTGCAAGATAACTAGAATGCAAACTAATTATAACGTTTATGCTCACTTTCACAAATGCATTAAGATAAACCTACTGTAATACAAATTATTCCATCTCACTAATAAGCTAATAAATATGCTGGAAAATCCAAAGACTTACTGTAGCTTTAAATACTTTATCCAAGTTTACATCTTCATTATTCCATAATCTCAAAACCTTTAAAACAAAACATAAAAGTCAAAAAAGTATTCCAATTTTCATTTACATACAATAAACATGAAGTTACCAAATCAACATTTTATTGCGTTGTATATATTATTATGTAAGTTTTAAAACTCACCTTATTATCATGTACAACAATATATTCTCTGGTTTGAAAGTTGCACACAGCTGGACATGTTATAATTTGACCTTGTTTCACTGACCAGCTCCCCAAGGGTTTCTGATCAGAAACCTAATAAAATTAAGATAACATACAATATTCAAAAAAGTCAATTTCTGACATTTAAGCAATTACATTTACAATCAAAACAAAAGAAGAAATTATTACAATGATAGCATTCAACAAATATCCTAAATTTAAAAAATAAGTAGTCACAAAAAGACAGATACTGTATGATTCCACTTAAGACAGAGGGTAGAATGGTGGCTGCCAGAGTCTGGAGGTATGGCGAGATGCTGTTTAACAGGTACAAAGTTTCAGTTTTGCAAGATGAAAAGAGTTCTGGAGATGGGTGGTGGTGATGGCTATTCAACAAGGTGAATGTACTTAAATATCCAGAACTGTACACTTTAAAAAGATTAAGATAGTAAATTTTATGTGTATTTTACCACAATTAGAAGTATAAAAAACTTTTAAAAAGTAGTTAAAATGAAAAATACAAATATAACTAAGTTCCTAAAATTTTTTAAAAACGTAAATTAACAAAACTTCGCTAAAAAACAAGAGTACATTTTAAAAACTGATTACGTTGTGATTCTGAACAGGGCCACGGGACACTAAGTAGGAATAGCTGGGATCGTGCCAATTCCAATCAACTGCTGTATTTCTATACAGGAATAGAAAAAATTTTAAGTTCACTCGACAGGTAAAAAACCAACAGTGTTATCAGAAGAGTCAAAACAAGCAAATAGTATAGGGAATTGTCTGCAACCTGTTCCCAAGACTTCAAAGTATATAGCTAACTTCTTAAAGGCACGGAAAACTGTTCAGCAGCCCAGAAAAAAAATAATTTCTACACGACCACTAAAAGCAAAGCTGCTTAAAATGGGTCGTTTGGATGAAAGGGGGCGGGGCGTACAGATTCACCCAGACTCGACTCCCAGGATTTACAGGTGTAGTTGGTCACAAAGAGATTATTCGTAAACGGGATTCCCATCAAGATACCAAGAAAGCAAAAAACAAAACAAAAACACACAACACTTTTCCTCAAGGGAAGAAGTATATGGACAACAAGGCTAAACCAGTGCCCATCGTGTCAGTCATCCTCTCCCACCCAACCAATCAATCTCCGTTCAATCCCTTCTGTGGACAGCTGGGCTGACAGGGACCCCAGGAGGAGCTCTTAGCAAGGCCATCAGGAAATTCGAAGCAAAAGCACAAGTTTCCTTTCCGAGTCTACCCCACGTGCACTTAGACGCTCTGCCGCCTGCAACTCGGAAATAATGCCTCTCTCTCCAGGAAAACCACCACGTCAGATGCTAGACGTCATTCAGCGTTCTGGAGAGGCCAAGCCAGCTTTCTGCTAAGCCTGCTCGACGATTTCTTTCTGAAGCTATGAGAAACCCAAAGCTCCGGCTCTGCGCTCAGCAATGAGCAAGACGGCAGCGGGGGCGCTCCGATCCTATCGCCCTCACCTTATAGAGGATGACGGTTCTGCCGCTGTCCGTTACTAAAAACTGGTCTGTTCTGTCGCTCTGCTCCACGCCTAGGAGGCCGTCAGGCCCGGCACCCAAAGGGACCGCAGACAACGTGAATTCCTCCTCCAGGGCTGCCATCTTGGGCAAACCTACCGTCCGCCGCGCATCCCTCCCGGCAGGCTTCGCGGTTTCTCTCGCGATAACTAGGAGGCCGACTGGACGGGAACATGCCAAAAGAGAAACCTCCACAGCCTGCGACTTCTGGCGGCTAGAGCTGGTGCAGGGGGTTGCGGACTCGTCAGATGGGCGGGGCTTGGAGTTTGCGTCTAGACTCCACCTCCTTGGCCAAGCCTCAGCGAGTCCCGGATGTGCTCCTCTTAAGGGGGTAGGGGCGAGGTGGGTTGGGGGGGTGGAGAATCCTACCTGGTTGGTAGTGAACCTGCTGTGTCATATTCACTGCGGACTTTAGAAGCTGAAGGGTTGGCTTGGCAAATGGCCTAATATAAATTAGATTTTCTTTTTTAACTCTGTCGGGCGCAACTGATCTCGCAGATACATTGCACACAAATTTTCAAATATCTAAGAGTTATCTTAAATATCGTGACTCATTGCTTCTGTATCTTCCCTCTCTACGGTAACCTATCGCCTATATAAGTCGTGTTTGTCAGTACAGTAAAGACGTATTTCATAGTGGCATCTTTTTGTGCACTGAATCTGTGAGATCAGTTGCGCCCAACGGAGGGTTAAGCAAACTCTCTAAGAATTCCTACCACGACCTCATGGGACAATGTGCCAAAGATAAACTATTTATCTCTCCAGATAAATTCTTAATAACATGCTGTACCTAAATGAAATGCCTAATACCTCTGCTTCTCAGAACCCACCACAGAGGTCTCGTGTCTGCGGCCTTTCGGGCCTCCCAAGTTGTCTCTCTTTGCCCTTGTTCTCTGAGCACCATGACGAAGTCTCTAGCTTACAGGAAATTCAAACTTCTCTAATGAAGGAAGTTAAATTGAAGATCACTGGGGCAATTTTTGGCAAGACATCATTTCTGGGAGAGTTCTAATAAACGTGACTGATTAATCATATAAAAATAAATCTAAATAAAAAGATAAAATGTGCATGTTCTTGGAAACCATCTAAATAGGCAGTTACCAAACAGACATGTACCATGTGTTACATCCCAGGGCAAAATGCCTCCACATCAGTTTATTTTTCATTATTTTTTTAGCTGAGCTATCCTGCCACCTGTTGGCAGCTCAGCTCGGGCTGGGACTCAAACCACTGGTTGCTCAGAGTTCACACTCTTGAGTGAGCTCTTAACCAACTGAGCCACTCGGCCAGCCCTCCACATCAGTTTAGATGAAGCATCCACACGGATCCCCTTGTGGGTGGAGTTTCCTCATAGCCACAACATCACAACACTGGAGCAAGGAGAATATTCAGCTATTGTGAATCGAATACTGTAAATTCTTTGTTTTTATCTGAAAAGAAAACATGATTTTAAATATCTGTATCTTCTTATTTTTCTAAATGTCAGAGTTCTCGGTCAGACTTGAAAACACTTTAAAACAAGTCCTTGGCAACCAACCTCCAAATTATTCTTGGTGACCTTGATATCCTTCTGTGTAAATTCTTAATAAGGCTAACAGGCCTTTTATTTTTCAAAGTGACCAAGGAATTTCACTGAATTTGTGGTCCCTTTGATAGCTGGAAAAGAAATACTGTGAAAGTCTTCCTAGACATTTTAGTCTCTGTGAAATCTTCCTATTCCTCCCAACGCTGTTAACCATCTTCTCTACAGTACTGAACCTTGCTAGGCGCATATTGCCCATCTTTTGGTTCCCAGCCTAGACTTCTCCTCCTCCAGGAAGTCTTCCCTGACTCTCTGATACTGGATTAAATGTCTGATTCAGGGCACTAGTGTTATTGTAACATCCAGTACTTAGGGTGGCCTAGTTACTCCTATATCTCCCCCATTATGTTTATTTCTTTAAAGGAACTGGGGATTTATCACTGGTATCTGGCATAATGCCTGTCCCGTAAAAATCTGGGACTAATAAATAGTGAAAACTTACTCATAATATTGAATTTGTGCTTTCCCCCTTTTTCAACTTGAAGATTTTAAAATGGGCGTTCTCAAACTTTGTGATTTCAAGATTCCTTTACACTCTTAAACTTTAAGGACGACAAAGAGCTTTTGTTTATATGGGTTATATCTATAGATATTTACTGTATTAGAAATTAAAACCGAGGAATTAAAATACATATTTATTCATTTTTAAATAATAAACTCATTACATGTTAACATAAATAACATTTTTATGAAAGTTAATTTTTAAAAAATTTAGTGAGAAGAGTGGCATTGTACATCTTTTTTTTTTAAGACTTTTTTATTGGGGAGTTGAGGAAGGGAACAGCGTTGGGGAATTGGGGAAAGGGAACAGACAAGTTGCTGTCCTTTTGTTCTTCAGTCTAGTTGTGGAGGA